ATTTCTAAATGGGAAAAAAGGAATGAAATTTTTGACAACTGTTTGGCTTTTTTAGCAGTTAAACTTCTTAGACTGTCTGAAAAGATTCCCTTTCTAACTATTATAAGGCCAAAATACCTTTATTTCGTTGTTAGCATATGTTAAAAAACGAGATAAGTTGTACTGAGTAATTCCTGCCTGTTTCAATGACACTTCACAGCAAGGAGACTGGTGCGAAAATCAAACTCTCTCGTACCAAGCCCCCGTCGGCTTAAAATTCTAACAGCTTAATTGAGAATCTGAAGGTAACAAACTATTTTATCAAATTTAAAACACAGCTGACTTGGCATTGAGACAACCTGCAAACATGACCTTTCCTTGCAATTCAGAAGCTGCAGCGGCTGTTGAAGGCACATCAGCAAGGTGTGCAGTCACCAGTCTTCTCACGGACCCCTGGTGGCGTGTAGATCTGGGAACGAGTTACGTTGTCGATGTAGTAGACATTATAGCTGGTGCCGATGGATTAACAGATTTTGAAATAAGAGTCGGTGAGTGGTCCAAATCATACAACAAAACATCTGGTAATTTGGTATTATCAACTGAGTTGATAGTGTAAATTGGCTACCGTTAAGAGTTTAAAGCTGACGTTTTGGGCGTTAGCCCTTCGTCAGAGTGATAACGGGAAATCCGCTTAGTCTTCCAGAAGTTCTTCTCTGATGGCTGATTAGGACAAAGTAAAGAAGGAGAAGCTAATAGGATTCCAGGGTTATAGTTTCAACCGCGTGAGAACGCGAATGACTAATTTGTGGTTGATTTAAGTTTTGAATCTGATTGGATGAGAGGGTGGCTTGAGTTCCCTAAACCAGTCGTAGCCCAGAATGTAACATTTAGTCGCCACATCGGTATATTAGATGGAGAGGACAGTATTAATATCCACGGAGTAATTGGGGTCTTAATCAGAGCGTCAGTGCATACCTCTCCGATACTCGAATATGGTGTGAATTATATTATCATCGATTCTTTATTATTTCTTCACCAAAATATCAAAACGTTATGTCCCTACGCGTTTCTTGTCAAAAGTGTTATGAAACAAATAGAGATAAAGTCAGTTTTATCCTTTATTTCCTTCTACTAACTCTACATTTTATTATTTCCCCAGGCGACAATCTTGAAAATGAAGGAAACTTAAACCAAAAGTGTGGAGGACTATACACTTTGACTTCTTCACAGGAAAAGTCGTTCTTTTGCACCCCAGGTATCAAGGGTCGGTATGTGAACATCCGAATAGCGGGAAACAACAAGAAGCTGGCCATCTGTGAGGTGTCAGTTAATCCTAATCCAACAGGTGGGCGCTGAACTTCGTCCTTGCAAATAGGAAGGAGGAAGAAATGTAAATGTAGTGGGTACAAAAATAGCGAGAAAGGTAGGAAGTGTGGTATGAATCGCCCTGACGAAGGGCTAACGCTCGAAACGTCAGCCTTTAAACTCTTTACGGTGGCCAATTGACGTTTAAAACTCAGTTGTTAACACTAAATTGCCTGTTCTACTCTCCCACTGACGCAGCACCACAGCTTCTTTAGAACCTCTATTAGTACTGACAAACTACGGTAAATAGTTGAAGATGAAACAGCACGGAAACGCTAACGAGGGCACGAAAACTACAGGTTGGTAGGGAGATAGATAATCAAAAAAAATGTTACACTTGGATCTAACAGTTAACACTACGCAGCACCAGTTCTTTAGAACCTCTATTAGTGAGGTAAATAGTTGGGTAAAAGAAACAAATACAGGTTGGTAGGGAGATAGATAATCAGAAAGGTAGGCAGTATGAGAGCGAGAGTGTGAAGGAGGTTGGCAGGTAAGCAGGGCAGGCAGGTGAAACAGGAGGCAGGGAGGTAGCAGGGTAGGCATCTGGGTCTGCAGTCTGATCGTTCGGGTTAGAGTAGCCATAGGAGGACTGTTGTTGGTAGTAGTGACTGAGGTTTTGACAACCGTGGTTGACTAACTTAGTGGTTGACTAACTTAGTAGAGACCCCTCTCAGCAGATACCAACAACTAGTGGCACCATACAAACGACTTGTTCACGACATTTACATAACAAACGTACCAAACGTACCGAATAGAAGGACCTAACATTACTGGCGAATAGAAACTGACTAAACACAACCGTTACTCATAGAGAAATCAAGGCTATGTCTAAGTTATTAGTTATGGAAATTTGAGATGGTCGTCCTGTGGCGAAGCTGTTAGGGGTGGGTTCATGTGAGCTTTGAAATTTTATTTCTATTAGTACAGTCGGTCACTTTTGTTTCTACTTTTATCAGTGAACCTTGCTTTGAGCAAGTCAGCATCTCAGTCCTCTGTCTCCCACAATGCTTACCCTGTGCGAGCAGTGGATGGAAATGCTGACAGTGACTGGAGCTCATCAAGTTGTACACATACATATAAAACAACGGATCCCTGGTGGCGTGGGGATCTGGGATCAAGTCAGCACGTGTCAGAGGTGTTCATAGTCAACAGAATAAAGCATGAAAATAGGCTTTTCAACATAGAAATTCGTGTTGGTAAGCTAACATTTATTGGAATATAGTTAATTTTATCTCATCGTTTCAGGTTATTGACAGGCCCCCATTCAAAACAGCTTGCAACTGAACTGCCCCAGTCTGATAAATATTACGATAAAGAAATACAGGAGAAAAAAATAAATAGGTTTGGTTCGAATTCATGTTGAGATATATACGATAAATTTCATCAACTTAATCTTACGATCAGCATGGTGGCCATGATATGTAAATAAACTCTTTTGTTACACCTCCCAACACAAATACGTTTTCCTGTTGAAGGAGAACGTGTGACATGCTATGTGTCACTTACCGTATTTACCCGTGTATAATGCGCACTTTTTTTTCCATAAAAACAAGCATCAAAATCGCGGTGCGTATTATACACGGATTCTATTGTTTGTCAAGCACGTCCTAATTTGCATACGTACATACATACGCAACAAAGAAAGTAAAAGTGCACGGATCGGTGGCCTAGGGAGGAGAAAGAGCTTGCTTGTTTACGACTCATTTGAAGCTCACATGACAGATACTGTGAACACTTCCTTCAAACGCGAACTTCCCTTCTCCAGTCGCTCGATGTATCTTTGAACAAACCATTTAGAGATGGAGTCCGAAAGGAGTGAATGGCTGATGGAATTCACGAACTTACTGGACGACAAAAAAAGGCTTCGGAGGAACTGATCTGTTCGTATATTTCACAAGCGTAGGGAGGCATTCCATCAGAAATGATCGCTGCCTCTCTCTGAAGTGTGGGATGGTACTCCTTAAGACGAACAAAACTCATTAACTCCCGAGGGAAACAATAACCTGAGCTTTCGACTTGCACGTGAGCAGGTCGGGGAACTTAAAACCTCGGCTAAACTCTGTGCCACCCCGAGTCAAGAAATTTCTATTTTTTCAGTGATTCTCTAAAATTTGAAGGTAAATAAAAACACTTAATGAATGGCCCTACGGGAAATAATAAGTTTTATTTTCCCTCAAGGAAACAACGTCACTGTTTCCCTTGGGGCCAGCTTTAAGGATAGCTTTAACCTTGATTTACTGCACTTCTTCGACTTAAACGATCAGCAAAGTCTTCTAAAAGAAGTTTTTTTTATCCCTCAGGAGATAGTTTGGCAAATAATGGAAACTCCAATCCGAGGTGTGGTGGCTTGTACTCGATGGCTAATTTGCTCAAAGCTTCGTTTTATTGCAAACCGAGGAAAAATGGACGATACGTAAATATCAGACTGGTGGGAAGTAGCATGGTTCTGACTTTGTGCGAAGTGGAGGTGTATTCCGAAAGTAGAGGTATCTTTTAGTTTAACTTCTTAATTAAACTCTCAGAAGTACTTCTTATGTAACTTCCCTCTATAATATCCGTACATCATCCAGCAAACAGATAATGAGAATACTCAAATTTTATCAAGAAGAAGTTGTTACCTTGATCTAACACGAAATTTTCTCGCAAATAAATTACATGGAAAAATATAGCGGCGAGAGAGGAGAATTAACCATCAAATCTTGAAAGTTTAAGGGTTATATTCATAAAAAGCTTTCCGCATGCTCATAAATTGACGCACTTTACTTCAAGGTCTTTCTCCATAGCTAAATGCCTTGTGGAGGAGGGAAGAGGAAAGAGCGAATTGGTAGGGAGGGAGGGTAGGAAGAGTTGTAGCCTCGCCGTGACCATTTGGTCATGGTAGACAAACAGCTCGTTGTTAGTTCCTAATCCCAGTCCGCAGCCCTTAGTTACAATACTTACAGTAAGATTGTAACTGAATACGAACGTAAAAGGTTGGCTTTCTAGAGGGATTAAAAAATGATGATAACAGCATTTTCCTCATTCTAGCCATTCTGAAATACAAGCCAGTAAAACGCTCAGTGCAGGACGTCTATTACCAAACTTCTATAACTCTGGTCTGTCCAGAGCCTTTCGGTTATCCTGAACCGTTCGTAGCCTGGGTAAAAAATGGTGTCGTCCTTCAAAACAGCTCATCCGACTTGACACTGAATCTGTCAATCATTGCTCAAAGGGATACTACCAAGTGGACAATTGACTGTGTGGCCAGCAACAAACATGGCGCTGATTATCACAGATTTGTTTTGAACTTGCACAGTAAGTAAAAGAACCGCACCGTTTCATAAGCGAGAGCCAGGCGTGGATCTTTTAATGGAAAACTCTGCTAGGCAGTCCAAGAACAACTTCTACGCTCAGAATATAGTTTATCAGTTATGTCCTGCGATCATTGCGTTTTTGATATCTGATACATATTTGCTGTTCACGGATTTCTCTAATTGCTGGTTTTCAGTGTCCTGCGATCAGTCCTTTTCTTTAAATTAGCGGTTTTATCGTTGCGTTTTTGATATCTGATACATATTTGTGTTCACGGATTTCTCTAATAAAGTCAGCATCGGAAAGCAGGCGGTGTGTATGAGTTCCAAATATCACGTATTGAAAAATTTTATTCGAATGTTCAATTTTAGTTGACAAGTTTTTACCCAAATTGACCGAGTTTTTTTTCAAGAAAACTACTCAAACAATGTGGGAGACACTGTGGACAAGTCTCCTGATAGTCAGTACACCGGAACCCCGGTCAAGAGGTCTGGGTTCAATACCTGGTCACGTCAATGCGTTTTGTTCATGGGCAAGACACTTTACTCTCACAGTGCATCTCTCCGCCCAGAATGCAAATGGGTACCGGCGAATTTTCAGGGAAGCCTGGTGAAATGTTGAGGGGTAACCATGTGATGAACTAGCATTCCATCCAGGAGGAATGGGGGGGGGGGGGGGGTAGGGGGTAGTAATACTCCTAGTCGCTACATGCTATGGAAACCGGGATAAGCTCCGGTTGGATGGGCCAGTAGGCTCGAGTACAGACTTTATCTTACTTATCTTCACTAAAACAATATGAAAAGATATCTTCTCTTTTATTCAAGGCAGATATGCGATGTGCACGGAATTTAGAGACCTGGTTGAAGGGACTAGAACAGTTCGTCACGTAGTGCATAACCAACAGTCGGCACAAAATGACGGGGTCATTGATAACCGTACATGGTACCGCTTTGTTAGTCAAGCCACAGGAACCCCAGTGCAGGTCTGATCTATGATTACAATTTTGCCCGGTTAGAGGAGAAAGAGTAGGATAAAAAGCATTTGTAGAGGGGAGGTCTTGAGGTTGAGAGTTGAGACAGGGTGAGGCATAAAATAAAAGATACGTCCAGTTAAATGGTGAAATATTGCGTTTCCTGAATAGGTAATGCAAACTGCTCTAGTATTTTTCACTGACCGACTGCAGAAAAAAATTAGGTCGGACAGTCTAGTCTCGCGAAGTTTCTGCACAAAATTAATGCGGAAATGTAACTGGGAGCTTGTCTTAACCAGTTTCTAAATCAAAGAAAGAAAAACGAATTTTGAGTTATTCCTTCCCCTTTATAAAGAGGTTATTAACGAATTACAGAAATTTAGAATATCTAAATTTCTCGCCAGCTACCAGACTCCTGCACGGAACCTTGGACTTGTGGTACTCAGGCCTCAGGCTGGCTTCGCGGGGGTCATCCATCAATGGAAGAGGGCCTTGTACGCCGGAATGTTTGCTTTAGTTGGAATGACAATTGCTGCTTTGCCGAAGTGCAGGCACTAGTCAAGCATTGCTATGGATACTATGTGTATAAGCTGCAGCCGACAGCTTTGGAATTGGAAGTGAAAGCGAGATATTGCGTGGGTTAGTAATCCATCGGTTGCCTTTACAATGATCATAAGCCACAGTAGACTTCTTCTCAACAATTCTTAGGGCATGTTACTCCTCTTGTGCCATTAGCACAAATCTTAGTCACTCTGACTAAAGCTGATTTTTTCTGACTTCTGATTGACTGATAAAAAAGAATATAGAACTTTAGAGAACAATGCCGAAAACGAGTTTTCAAAAATAAAAAAATTTAAACATCAGTAACACACTCGGCTGCACCTCGTTAGCTCTTTTTTCGTTTTTATCACATTTTGATGTCATCAGTGATCTTTTACTGAACAGACGCACAATAATACGGATACTACTCGGTTAAGTAGACTCCAAGTGCCACATTTTCATTAATCTCTGTGATGTTATTTTCACCCTATATCAAAGAAAACCGAGCCATCCCTTATGAAGATGCTTTGTTTTACCAACCCGTTACAAAAACTGGCGTGCAGTTAGCCTTGACAAATCACGTGATTCACACGGAATATCATGTGACATCTTCATGGAAGTGTATGGCCTATTGTCTCTTGGAGATGACGTGTGTGTCATTCAACTACTTCACCCAGAGTAACACATGTGAGCTTAACAACAGCACTGGATCAAGTAACCCAGAAGGTTTGAGAGAGAGACCTGGGACCGAATATTACGAAAGACGAGTCATTCATCATTCTTAGGTTGAGAAGCTGGTTCAAATAAGAGTGGAATCAATAGTGAAATTCTTAGATGGTAAGGGAGCAAGTTTTCCAGTGCGGAACACTTTGGCATAGAATGGTTGTGTTTATTGTCAAAGCTGCGGTGGAAACAGACTCATTTGAAGCGCCTTAAGGAAAGCCCTTCATAGGATGTTACATCAACACAAGATTTCACACTTTGTAAAATATTTTTCTTTTAATTTTCCGAGTCAGTTTTCAGTTTAGACGCAGGATAAGAGAAACATTTACACATAGCAACTAATAACAAATGTAAAGAAATCCGAAGGTCTGGATTAAGTTTAACCACGTTCTATCCAACTTTAACCAAACAAAACTCTGAAATCGGAGTTTTTTGTTTGTTGGTATTTTTGTCCCTCATTTCTGGCAAGAGGAATAAAATGTCTTCTTATTCGACCGCTAAGATCAAATTTTGCCATCTTTTTTATCTTACATTCACCCAAAACAATAAACCTGTGAAGTCGCATTAATATATTTGCATAAGTAAATCAGTCTGTTATTTAGGCTATATGAGTTATTACGAGACTACGAGAGGCGTCATTTAGTTTACTTATGAATGTTCTGATATTTGAGGCGATGGATTTTACGTATTTATGGAATTGCCGGCACTATCTTCTGAAGTGCCTGTTCATGGCACCGTATATGAAGGGATTGATGGTGCTACTCAGTTACAATAAAAACGCGATGGCAAGATACCCATGTTGTGCGAAGATATTTTCCTTGCTTTTGACATTGATGAAATCCATAATGTAAACTGGAAGCTAACAAGATGCAAAGCCGAGCAGAACCACTGCTAAAGTCTATGTCACTTTTGCTTCTTCCACATTCGCCCGGTATCGCCGAGGGTTATTTTTGTGTGAGAAAACACGGTTTGATCTCGAAACAGCGCGAAATACTTTGACGCAGCAGACCTTGATAACGGCGAAAGGAGTGGCTATATAAAAAACGTTGCTAAAGATCATAAAAGCTGTGTCATCTTCGAATGTGATCAAGCACATTGCCTCTCCTGAATGAAACTGAAATCTGCTTCTATTCTCTCGAATGTAGAGAATAGAGGCAGAGATCAAACGAAAGCCAAACACCAACACATGACAATGGTAATCAAATTTTTTTTCTTCGCAAACAACACACGATACCTTCCAGGTTTCACGACGCAAAAATATCGAATCAAAGTTAGTAATGTGCCCACTCCAAAATTCTTCCTCCCTTTTGACCCCTAAGAGTGACTGGTATCTAATTTCTTCTTACAGTATCAGCCCTGAATCACATATTAAGGTCAGAAGAATAAAGGAAATGATCACCACTGACAGAGCTCATGATTGTTAAACAAATTCTCCTTGTCAGTACCTTAGGAAATGAATGGAGAACAGTGTGGAGAATATGCATAATGATGTTAGTGTGTCAAGGGTTAAAGAAAATGTAAACGGCATATTCATTCATCCCTCAGCATCTCAGTCAAAAAACTCATCATTAAGGTTCTATTGATTATTCCCGATCTAAAAAGTCATGTCTATTTCTAAACAATGTTGACAATTTGTCGTAATTACAGCGATAACTAATACATATATTCACGATGACTTGCGACTGAGGTTTTCACCTCTCGATGAAAGATAAACTGTTTCCCAGCATGAAATCTGGGTTGACACGAATGGTTATGTTGGCAGACTAAGACCAGTTCGATCATATTGCTGTGTGAACTAAACACAATTGAAATTTCTTTTCCTATGTTTATCTGTTGTTCCCTTGAAATTCACTAATGCCATTAGCAATTAACGAAATGATATACAATTGAAGCCAAGCAATTAGATACTCATTAAAAGGTTTTAGAAGAAATTGTGTAAAGCATGTCTTGACAGCGCTATCCCGCGGATTTTGACGAAAGATTGCTTTGTAGGTTTAATTAAAAGGCAATACAAGGCTTGTTTCTTCGATTCCTTAAATCTAACAAATACATTTTGCTTACCCCAAATTGATAACTCTTATGCTATAGAACTCAGATTTTCGTTGAGTTGGAGATTGGAATGGTAGTTTTTGAGTTGGGAAACTTTGTATGCAATACCTCTGATGATGAAATAACCATTTTTTAATATTCTCGAGATAGATGTTAGTGTTGCGTTACTCTCTCCATCCAGGAATGGTGATTGGAGTCCATGTTGCATCAAAAAGAAGCCATTGAGTAATGCAGCTGTCATAATTTGAGATCGATTCCTCAAAACGCAATAGACGAGGTAAACAACTCTAACTCTCTTAACGACCTGTATGATGAGCTTATTTCATGATGATTCTGGCACAAATGTATTATGTGTAACTAATCGCAAGTTGTACAAATGTGTGAACTAACCTGTGTAGGAAACACTACTTAACTCTTCCCTCTCAACCTCACTGACGAGCAGCTACATAATTTACAGGAATGTCACACAATTTTATGTCATGTATTCGGGGGAACGTAAAAAAAGGACTGGGGCAAAGTGGACTTTTTTCTGACGAGAAGCTGCATCATAAATTAACAGGAATGTCACACAATATATTATGTCACGCATTCAGGGGAACGCAAAGAAGAACTGAGGAGACGTTTAACGGAGACAAGAAGAAAAAATTTTTAAAATAAATAAAGAATTAACTGCTTCAGTTGTCATGATTGAGATGTTTGACATCCAGTTGTGTTTTCGCAATCATCGAGGACTGAGGGAGACTTATTTCCCTCAACAGACCTGAACAATTAGTCAACAATGTTCAAGAAGCAGGGGATCATTTCTAACATGTTTGGCGATGATTTTTAGTTTCATTCAACCATTTTCATATCTGAAGTATTTCGCAAACAGGCAAGACTATCATCGAATTCGGTGTAGCTTGATTGATAGCTTCTAAACCACTGACACTCCGAACCTCGTCAAGATATTGACCAATGCGAATTCACCCTTTATTTAAAATAGAAAATTCATAAAATATGTAAAATTACAGCAATGTTATGTCCGCGTGAAAATCGGACCAATAATTAATCATTGAGATACGAGGGACCCAACGCAGCAAGAACAGCAGCGCTGTGGAAAAAGTCGTTCGAAAAATGAACTTACATTTTGGGTTAAAATTTTGCAGATCGCTGGATTTGTTTCCAGCTTCTTACGGCGCCACACCTCAACTTCAACATAACAGTTCATGGTGTTGAGTTGCGCTTTCTAAAGTTAATTAATTTACTATGGGGTTTCTGTTCTGTTGTAAATGTTTCTTAAATTTAATTAATTTCAATTGTGTAGTAATTAGTAACTTTAGTAATTTAAATAATTGTTCCTGAAAAGCCCCATTGGGGAGATAACAATAAAGTATGTATTTATGTTCTCAGTCCACGCAAATTCTGGTAGTTTCACGTTGTTGTTTTGCAAAGTTTTAAAACGCAGGCGCTGAGCCATTGTTTTCTGTTTTGCCACTTCCTCGTTGCCGTCGCCGTCATGGTGCGCTTACAGGACCCCATGGTCATATAGTCGAGAAACAAGAAACTTTCGATTTTGTCCTGACATTGAATATAGACCAAATTACAATCGGCTTACATGTTAGATGTGCATTCATTGAAATATGAAGCACACGGGAAATTTGGAAAACGTAACAGATGCTTAAGAGTTCCTCAGTGCGTGTCAGGAAATTCCCTCTGCCACGCAATGTACACGCATACGCATACGTCATTAACGTTTGCACCTGCCTAGATGATAGTGAAGTACGTGAAGTACAATTTCTCTTAGTTTTCAATTCATATATTTATATGGTTTGAAGAAATTTTGACAAATTTGTGTCATTCACTCTCCCAGGTTCGTAACACGTCTTTTTTAGGGGTGATCAGTAGCTATGAACCACTTCCTATAAAGCAAAGTCTTTATATATCCATGTTATGAAAATCGGTCAAAAAAATCATGGTATGAAAATCGTCAACCTCAACGACCTCAATATTATTTTTATTTCAAATTAACTGAGGCAAACGTAAAAATTTACATGGAACATTTTTGCAATATAGCTACTTCTTCCTTTCAAATGGGTTTACTTCAATTCGAGGGCATGCGAGATTTCTTGATAAATTAATCATTAATCGGTAGACACGATCCCCTGCCAAAAGTAAAGACACGAAATCTTCTTTTTAGCCACTATCAGGAGCCCACAATGGGTTCCTGCCTCTATTTATTCATTTTTTATATTCATCACTATAAGATTTGGTGAGTGGAACATATTTGGAAACATGATATTCGATATAGTCGACGGTTTGGGTTGTTTTAATGAAGTTAGCACCTGCTTGATTTGCATTACAACAGAACAGATAGGTTTTGTTGAAAAAACTAATTCAGTATGTCAAGATTCAAAGATGAGATATTCAAGTATCAGAAACAGTTTTTGTAGATTTTTGTATGAAATAGAGGAAAGAAACTTTTAAACATTCATAACAAGGAGCAAAAACATGATAATTAATAAACCTGAAATGTTTGCTATAATTTAATTAAAAATTTTACGTTGTGATGAATCCATATCAGTTTGGAGATATTACCCTCTCAGTGGGACGTCAGGGTTAGGTATTATTTATTATGTACACACATTTTTGGGTCAGTTCATTCCATGTTCCTTCGAACGAAATTATGGGCAGATCCGCGTAAAGACAAAAAAATTGTTTCCTTTACCAAGTGTGTAATCATTTTCAAGTTTTTTTTTTCCTGGAATTAGACAACTTCCCCATGCTAATCTATTTGAAGAAAAGTACCACATAATTTACTAGTCTTCGTGATCGGCGTCAAAAGAACCATTTGTTTTATAAATTTACAGCTATGTCTACCGATGGCCATCGCATATTGAATTCTTTAAGCGTAAGTACACCTGTCCAACTGCTTCTTTCTGATCACCGTATTTACTACAACGAGTTGGATTTTAACCCGACAAAATCGTATCACTGTCATTAATTTTCGGGGCAGTTTAAGCCTGAAACAAGAGGT